GGCCTCCCAAAGTGCTGGGATTACAGGCTTGAGCCACCGCGCCTGGCCTCTGTCCAGTTTTAACCCTGACGTGTAATTGCTACGAGACTTTGGGTGAGTTACATACCCTTTCCAAACCTCCATTTTCTTGGCTACAAAATAGAGACAATATTAGCTGTTCTGTCTCCAACCATAGAAGAGTGTGATAAATATCAATAAAATGTGTACATGAGTGTTTTGTAAATGCTGAGGCACATTAAAGACCCATTCATTTGTTCTACAAATATATTTTTGAAATTTTTAGGGATCGTTGTACATGTTCATGGAGCACGCATGGTACCCGGTACGGGCACGCCATGTTCGCGGGGCACGCGTGGTACCCGGTACGGGCACGCCATGTTCGCGGGGCACACGTGGTACCCGGTACGGGCACGCCATGTTCGCGGGGCACGCGTGGTACCTGGGATGGGCACGCCATGTTCGCGGGGCACGCGTGGTACCCGGGACGGGCACGCCATGTGTCATGATCAAGTCAGGGTAACTGGACCATCCATCACCTCAAACATTCATCATTTGTGTTGAGAACATTCCAGATCTTCTAGCTATTTTGTTTTGTTTTCTGAGATGGAGTCTCTGTCACCCAGGCTGGAGTGCAGTGATGCGATCTCAGCTCACTGCAGCCTCCACCTCCAGGTTCAAGTGATTCTTGTGCCTCGGCCTCCTGAGTAGCTGGGACTACAGGCGTGCAGCACCATGCCTGGCGAATTTTTTTTTTTTAGTAGAGACGGAGTTTCACCATGTTGGCCAGTCTAGTCTCGAACTCCTGACCTCAAGTGATCCTCCTGCCTCGGCCTCCCAAAGTGCTGGGATTACAGGCGTGAGCCACTGCACCTGGCCATAAAAGTCTTCTAGCTCTTGTGAAATATAAAATAACTTATGGTTAACTATAGCCACCCTATTGTGCTGTCGAACACTAGAACTACTCCTTTTACCTGACTAGTTTTGTGTCCGTTAACCAAGCCCCTTCATCCTCCCGCCGCTGCCCTTCCCGGCCTCTGGTGAGCGCCGTCCTTCTACCTCCGTGAGATCGTCTCCTCAGCTCCCGTGCGTGGGTGGGAACACCGGCATTTGTCTGTCTGTGTCTGGATGTTTCACTGAACATAATGACCTCCGTGTCTTACAAATATTTTTGAGGGCCAACTACATAGAGGAACTGGTCTGGCCCTGGTTCTAGAAGGTGCAAGAGACCTTCCCACAGGACATTTCAGCCTGGACTTGGGGCATGGGTGATTAGGTGTCTGGACCAGGGGTCAGAAGGTTTGAGGCTCCCCTGTGTTTGACGGTGGGCAGAGACGTGCCCCTTAGGTGGTGCCTGCAGTTCCTTGGAGCCTCCTCAGCTCTTCTTTTTGAAATACCTGTCAGGGTCATACGCAGGTTTTTAGCCCTCCCCCTCGTCCTCCTCTTTCCTCCCTCCTCCCTTGTCTACCTTCATCCTCCTCCCTTCTCTCTCCTCCACTCTCCCTCCTCTATTCTCTCTCCCCAATCCCCACTTCCCTCCACCCTCCACCTCGCTC